AGAGCGAATTTGTAGTGCTTCGTCAGAGTATTGAATACGTGTCTCGGATAGACATCAAACTTCGATATTAAGACTTTCAAGAGACGTAGCCAGCCCTATCTGTTGTCCGACCTGCATAAGTGTGCGAACGTTGAAGGCAGTCAGTTTGAATGGTGCACGTGGTTTCAGAAAAACTGTTTCAGTACTAGTATTTGGTGGTAGCATTCAATTTTCAAGCAGGCAGTGACTCGAGAACGTTTAGATAGAACCGAGTTTCCACCATAGGCGAGCTGCTGTATAAGTCGAGAAATTAGGATACATAAATTGGGAATGAAAGAGAGTGAGTAAATGACGTAGTATATAATAATAATAATAATAATAATAATAATAATAATAATAATAATAATAATAATAATGTGTATTGTTCGACTGTAAATCGAAGCGAGAATAGAGTTTCCAGTAAATACCATCATTTCCACTGCACTTAAGCAGTTTATTTGCATTAATTATTTCGAACTACAAATCTATCTACTATAAGTTGCTTTCTGGGTGGTGTTGTGTGATTGTGGATCAAAATCTATTTACGTACGCACTTATGCAATTTAATCATCTTGATTCATTCAGCTGCATATCTTGTTGATCATTTGACTGTAGTTGGGACAGTACTATTTGTATTTTATTGTAGTTTTAGTTTGTTTTTAGGTTCTACAAAATTTCTATGTTTTTCATGAACTACATCTACGTTGTTTTACTTGACATTGATTTCTACTATGTCCTTCCATTGTTGTTAAACTTTTTAAATATTCGTTATTATCACCATCATGTTTCTTATTTATTCTCCGTCTTTCTCATACATATTTTGGTGGACAATTATCTTTCTCATATTCAGCTTCGGTTGATCGCTTTTCCACCACTAGTCGATCGCCACTCAACTGTCTTTCAACATTTGAAACTATGCAGTCCACCTTCTTATTTCTAGTAGATTGCTTAATTTGTCAAACGATTATAAATATGATTACACAGTTCAAGTAAATGGCACCGTCGGAAAGCAAGCTTTTTTTTAATCGTCTTCAATTTTTCCCTACTAATCTTCATTTTCAGAATTTCATCACCCCCAGATTAAATAGGAGTAAAACAAATACTTGGAACCAATAAGATTTCACTGCAACTGTCTCTAGTAGTTTATGTGTTAAAACATATACTTGATTGAGTATGTCGGGTTGAAGATAAAATGCATTTGTACTGTCAGGTTAAGAGCAAGCTTCAGAGAAGAATAGTAAAATTTATCTATTCGCCCCTCATCAAAAACCGATTCTCTGTTAAATTCTAATTGCTTGTCTTATCAACAACATCCATTTGTACATGTTTCGATATGGTTAGAAACAACCATAACATCTTGCAAATATATCGCTGACTGGTCTGTTCAAATGCTATTCATGACTAATAAACTTAACTCATTTTACTATTGTTGAGTGACTTCATTCAGCTTTCTTTTTTCTTTCCACATGTAAGTTCATAGTTTCGCATATCGATTATTCCCTTTTTTTAATCCACCCGTGTATTCAGTTTTTGTATAAAATATTGATTGACACAGTAACCTCCACAAAGTCCTATTATCCATACCACAGTCATTTTACCAAGACAGATTTCCAAACAAATTTGACATCCGTTTAAATAGGTAGCCTGTAAGTATTCAATCTATCAATTCTAAGAGTACAGGTAAGACGTTACATAGTAAGATTACGATTATCTACTACATTTATCAGAATTTCTCTGTTCTAGAGTTTTAACTAAACAACATCGCTTTTGATGTCAGACAATATTTGCGAATTTCATCTATTAGGAGACCAATCGTTACATTATTTCAACTGTCGTGGTATTCTAAGTTAGGGAAGTTAACACTGAATCAATTAAATAAGATTTCAACCTCTACGACAATTTGAAGATCGGACTCCGTCCTCTCAAGTTGATAACCATGGGTGAATTATGAACAATGATAATAAATCCACGTAGTTTGATGATAATCTAGTCATAATATGGATAATATTATCAATGAAAGTTCAATAGAAATCTGTCTCGAATTCAAAATGTAGTTTTGTGTACTTCTTATTCTCTTTCTTCTTCAGTGCTCATCACTTGTTCATGTGTTTGCATGTATTCAACTCTGAGTGTAATATGCCAATCTTAGACCCAGATAGAAATATAACAACAACAAATGAATCCGCTACATCAAAATACCAATATGTGCTTTCCATCAAGAATCGTATTTTGCACTCTTACATAAAGCACAACTTAATGCAAACACACGAACAAACCAACAATTGAGTGCATGTCAATGAGAACGTCTCAATATTTCATAATACGTACAAACAATGAGAAAATGAGGTCATTAAAATTCCTAGGATGAGTTTTGCAGTACGAAGATGAATCTAAAACAAGGTAAAATTCAGTGCTTGATGGTCAGTCACAATATGGAGTCATACATTGAAATGAATTCTCATTTGCTCTTTTTGTTTGAACAAATTCATGATTTTGGGAAAAACAAGAATGTGGTTTGTGTACTATTCAAGGTTCACTTAGTTCGAACGCATTACTATTTTCCAGTATACACAGGAGAAGACTAAAAATCATCTAGAACAAAGCTTACTTTTATTATACAATATCATTATCGTACATTTCTGTTTAGCATTCAAAAATTTTTAATCCTGATCGGTAGCCCATGTTCTACGTGGGCTAACGGACGTATGTTGGTATGTGAGCTGTGTAGGTAGCATTATGAATTGTTAGTCGACTAGGAAATATTTTCACATTCTGGAAAATTCCTAATGACACTGAGTTTTTAAAGCCAATAATTATTTTCGACAACTATCATATTTGTAAAGATTGTTTATAAACAATTGTTGCTTTTGTTTCTGTGTTCTAAGCAACTGACGATAATCCACAAGTTGAAAGCATTATTTTCATTAAGTGGATAATGAGATGGCGTTTGAAGTGAATGGCAATGTGTTCGAGTCGATGAGTGAAAATGAACTCTGATGTGCAGGTACATCTAGCTGACGTTTCCCAAATAGGCGGGAATCACACATCACATTGGATTCCACTACTAGCAATTAATAATTGTGGTGCTGCGAGTCATAAGTTCTAGTTGTGACGAGACGAGAAAATCATCAGTCATAAATGAACTCGTCATGTAATTGATGACCGTCAATTGATGAGTTGTGAGGTTGGAGCTAAAATGTCACTACACGCCCTTAATTGATTGGCAAGCATTTAGACATTTTCGAAAATAATTCGTAAATAGATGGAGGAGAGGTTTTGAAGAACGTTTGTATCAAAGATTGTGTCATTTCCAAATGATAAAGATTTTCCAGCGAATCACATGGGAAAATGTGTTTGGGAAAATTTCCAGACTAATGAAATATATGTTATACTGCCAAACCAATGTAACAGTTATCACGAAACGAATCAATTGTCAGATATTCAGGTGAACTATAAAATCATTGTCCCTGATACTTTGAGAGGATTGATAAGTGACCATTTCGTCACAATTTATACACTCACTGGTCTCTCTGTAGATGACCTGTAGTTTTATTTGTGATTTCCTCAACTAGCGATTGTGCCATCCATGCCATCTTGAATCTATTTGGAAACGAAGGTAAAACTTTAATTTATGATTGACAAAGACGATGAAAACGTAACACAACTTCAGAGAAATGTTTCAAGAAAGAACAAAGAGTATCATATTCACGATAACTATCTATGTAACCAAGATTGATTTTTGAAACTTGTTTGCTTCACATACTTTTAACTACTCACGTGATGGAGAACTGAGCGACTTGATGCTATTGCAAAATGTTAAAATTAAAACACGAAGTTCGGTGAAGGGATCTCTTTCCAACGAATTTATTATCAAGCTGTGCAATCGTATATATATGAAAATTGTACAGCTTGATAATAAATTCGTTGAAAAGAGATGCCTTCGCTGAACTTCGAGTTTTAATTTTAATGTTTAAATTGGAATTATCTGTCAATTGCAAAATGTCGCATTTTCCAGGTGAATAAAGCACAGACAAAGCATTAGGACTTTGTCATTCTAGTAGTTTAGTCAACATTGACTACAAGAATCATATCCCACTCAACATAATTATTACTTTGAAAAGTGACATTGCGTCACACATTCGAAACGCTCTCGCACGATCTACCCTCTAACCATCCAAGTAGCGTCACTACCCTTCAGTCTGGTTAGCGTTTTGGTTAGCCTTTTTTTAGCGAGTTAGTTTTCTACGGGATGAGGACGCTAACCCCATGCCCAACCCTCCTTTATCCAGGCTTGGAACCGGCAGTAGCCCCCGGAGGGACTCCAGGCGGTGTTACCATTCAGTCACATAGCGTATATTATGTTGAGTAAATAATCCCTTTCTACATCATTCATTTAAATTATCACATTTATATTTATAAGGGGTTAGCACAGATTCTTCAATCTGACCATCTTATCTCAACATAGTGCACGCAATGTCGAGTCACCTAGATTGGTGGCCACATTGTTATTTGGTCGATATCATTCGATCTGCACTAAGAAGGACTTGACGCACATGATATTGATCACCACTCAGTGATCAATCAATTGTGAAACTATACATGTCTAATCAAAAAACCCTTTGATATTATTGTCCATTCATTTACACGACTATTTTTGGCCATTAACCAACTGACTAATATTTACATTTGTCCAATCATTAACTCATTTATATTCACGTGAATCAGTTAAAACTACAATTTAGACGGTGTTAATTACTATATCCCACGGTATTGATATTAAAATTGGTCGAAATTTAGGATCGAAAGTTAATATGAAAAGATAATACTTTCCCTCCCTCAAATCCAATTTTCGTTATTTTCTTTGCCAATACTTCTCTATTATGAACATTTATACCTTTCTCATCATCATATTGCAATCATTTGTGAATAGTGTACAGCATTATGTCGCTCCATAATCATTCCATATGAAATTGTTTTCATGAAAAATATCAGAATTTTTATTATGTGTAAAATATTGTCCATTTTCAAATGTAATTTGATCTATACCACAGAAAGCACTATGTACATTACAATTTAATACAATCTACAATAAAACAATGTTTCTGTTCTCAATATTCATGTTTCATGGATTCCAACGCAATTTCCGACCATTACATCCAGCATTCCACCATCGTGCCACACTCGGAACCCAATATGGACCAAATGAATGAGATGTATGAGCTAGCAGACACATTGCACATTGAGGTTGGGCATCGTAATCATGTATGATTCCATGACCATGCCATGCAAAATATTCATTATATGCAGTATCGTTCTTGTCCAAATACTTCAAATAGTCTGCCAGTTTAGCCGGTGATTCGAATTGATCAACGTGAATGAACGAGTATGGAGGAGCGACTCTTTCATATTCCTCTATCGATGCACCCATCACAATTGGAAGTATATCGTTTCTTGGAATGAATAATAAGTTTGCAATTTGTTAAACACTTATCGAAATCTCATCATACAAGTGAACCGTGAACATTCCCGAAAATATGTATATACATTGAAAATGTCAAATTTCAACTTACAGGACGATGGAGATGAGATTTCAGTTTTAGCCAATTTCACCGTTTTATTTTGACGTGACGGATATAAAAAATTATGGACCATGATTGCTCAATGCACATTGGTAGCTGCTAGTAATTATTTATGGACTATTACTACATATCAATTTTGGTATTGTTTGTTCGAATCGTTCCATTGATATCCATGACTGACATTGATCAGTCTCTAATTGACATATGTGTATCCTGTGAGGATTGCCTCGAAATTGCTTTTCGTCTCAAACATTATAAGCAGTGATGGATGGAGGCTAGTAGTGGGATCGAGGAGCGCACGGTACAGGGTCGGATTTCACGAGTGAACATCAACTGGGTGATGCAGATACATTCAGCTGAGGAGCACCGAGTATGATGGAACGCGTATCGTGGATTCCACTGCTAACCACCACCCATTTAATATTGCATATATTCTTATTAGATAATTATTAAGTTACCAGATTATATATATAGTATGTATAATCAGGTTTTTTTATCATAAGGTTTCATTTGACCTGTTGTCTACTGCCACTCTTTGCTTGGTTATGTTAGTTTGATCATAAGGTTTCGTTTGACATATTGGCTACTGCAATACGTTTAACCATTCTTAACTTATTCGCAATTTATTTGTTACAATATCCCACAATCACAGCCACATTTTGCTTGATCCTGTGTAATTATTATTTTTATTTTTACAGTGTGATGCGGTTTGTTCTGCTTGTATATAAACCACGTATGTCTAATATATATTAGGCAGAAAAAGTGCAAGCCTAATTAGAAATACTAAGCAAAGAACGCACGCACATACACACACACACACACCAAAAAAATATAATTCACAAATTAATTCAAGATTTCTAGTTTATTCCATTTCATTCACGATTTCAAATTAAATGTGAGAACTTCATCTTAATGAGAAAACTTGGCCTCTAATAATATTGCAACAACAATTAAACACACATCAGTGGCAGCTATCTTTGTTCTGGACTGGACGGGCTGGTCTCGATGAGAAGTTGCTATGAAGATGACCAATAAGGACTCATATTTGACTCAGGACTCCTAGTGCTACATGAAGCATCATTGGTTTAGCACAGAAACAATGTCATAGAAATAGGTATTTAAACTGGCGTTTTAGTTGCCTGGTACTTGACAGGCCATAAAACATAACATTTTTGTGGGACTAATTATTCAAAAACTTGATCGAGCACTATCACGTTTGATATTTGAGGATACTTGTCAACGTGCTCAAATAAGATCTGTCATGGACTTCTCATATTCTCGCTTCTCTAATATAAATTTTATTCCGAGTGATGAGCATTAGATCCGTAATTTTATATTGTATGCAATATTCTGTTAAACATCTTAAGTAAACCTCAATGAAATCTATTTCACATTAAAGAAGTTTTATTTGTCTGCAACTATGTGAAGTTGAAGCACTCATAGAACTGAAAATAACTGCCAAACAATATCAAAGTCAGAATCGTCAATACGAACTTCAAGACAGAAACTTCGGGAACTACCACAACCATCATCAAAAGCGTACAAGTATTTGTAAACGATTGTCTATGTAAAATACTCAATGTCCGTTGAGTGGATACTATCTGCAACAACCTACTGTGAGAGAGAACAAACCAGCTCCCATCTGAAGAAGAAATTAGGAAAAGAAGATGAAAGTAGACAGGAAATAAATTGAGGAAATCACAAGACTGCATCACGATACAAACACTGATTTGGAATCGTGAATGTGAACTCAAAGGAGGAAGACCAAAGAACTCGCGTCGTCAGCAATCGTAAGCAGATATGAAAAGGATGAATAGCAAGTGGAAAGAACTGGAAAGGATTGTCCAGGACAGAGTTGGATGGAGAATGGTGGTGGTTGGCATATGCTCCTCCACGAAGGGTAACGGGCGTTAGTGAGTAAGTAAGTAAGTAAATAAGTAAGTGCTAGATGACTATGAGTTGCTGCCTATCACTAAAACCAACATCAATGTAACCCATCGCAGTTCACTCTGCCAATTTTATTTCGTTGTTCTGAAATATTATGACCTTTTGAGACGATGATTATGCACATATAAATAAATTGATGACTCTGATTACACTATAATGTAAGATTAATACCAAACCACTTACTTCAACGCATTTTTATACAACTTCTCTGTTATGTACTCACTGCACAAACTATTTTCGAAGCTCAAATAAAACTTATAATTTTCGCGAATCATTTTCAAGCAGCTAACTGATGAGGTAAAAGTTGGATTATGCTTTGGACACGATAACGTGCCACATTGACCATAAATATCAAGCTGAAAATAGAAAATGAATCGGTGAACTATGGAACAGATAAATTATATGTTTTAATGATAAAGCCGGTAACCGCATCGAATTCACTGTGTGTATGTTTGATGAAACGATCAGTTTCCTTCTAAAATTTTAATAGTTGAGTTCGTAAGCAGATCTGGACTAGAACATCATTGAAAACCTGAAAGCACTGCACAGCCATTTCGGCCTAACTATGGACACCTCAACAGCAGCACTTCTGTATCCAGCATTTCTAAATACCCATCATGAACACAGTGAGCTTAGTCATGTACATGCATATAACACTTGGACATAAATGTGAGTGATCACTGAGTATGGTGTAAGAATACCTGGATTGGCAATCTTGTGTGATCAGTTTATGGAATAGTCACATATAGTGATACAGTTCCCTACAAAATAACGATTCGATGAAATCATCTTCAATCTGAGCATTATCCCTGACATTTCTGAGATGCTCATTTGTTTATATGTATAGACTAACCAACTTGTAAATTAAAAGGATAAGTTTTCAAAGAAGTGAAAAATAATCAAATATTCATAGTTGGTGATATTGATTATAATTCCAGTAATAAGCACACATCGTTATAAAACCAAACACCTTCACTGGTCTCTAAATATCAACAGTATGTGACCAATCAACTCTGCCTGGAGTCCCTCCGGGAGCTACTGTCGATCCCAAGCCCGGATAAAGGAGGAGGGTTGGGCATGGGATTAGCGTCCCCATCCCGTTGAAAACTAACTCGCTAAAAAAGCGCTAACCAGAAAAAATTATTCAAACCTTTTAACCTCTGCCCTGGGAGTCAGAAGGTCTTCATTTAGAAGAACTATGACGCCTCATGATGAAAGCCGAATTCCTTCGGAAGTTACGAGGCCGATGCCCCTTCTGACAACCAGAGCGACCATTTATTTAAGTACATGGAATGTTCGTACAATGTAGGACACCGGGAGAGCCTTCCAAATTGCTGCAGAAATGAGAAGATTCAACCTAGAGGTACTTGCGATCAGTGAAACACATTGGACGCAAGTTGGACAACAACGACTAACTTCAGGAGAGCTTCTGTTATACTCCGGCCATGAAGAAGAAAATGCCCCACATACACAAGGAGTTGCATTGATGCTGTCCAAACAAGCGCAAAATGCGCTTATAGGATGGGAATCTCATGGACCAAGGATCATCAAAGCCTCGTTCGAAACAAAAAAGGAGGGCATTACAATGAATATCATCCAATGCTATGCGCCTACCAACGACTACAATGAAGACGCTAAAGATCAATTCTACAATAGGCTGCAGTCAATCGTAGAAAAGTGTCAAACAAAAGACCTGACCATTCTGATGGGAGACTTCAATGCCAATGTTGGAACGGACAACACTGGATATGAAGACATCATGAGACGACATGGACTGGGAGAAAGAAACGAAAATGGTGAGATTTGCAAACCTATGTGCCTTCAATAAACAGGTCATAGGCGGCACCATATTTGCATCAACAAAACGTTTAGGAGGACGATGGAGGACGTGAGAATCAAGAGAGGAGCTGATATAGCATCAGATCATCACTTGCTGGTCGCCAAGATGAAATTGAAACTCAAGAAGCACTGGACAATGGGGCGGACAATATCACAAAAGTTCAATACGGCCTTTCTTCAGGATACTAACAAACTCAACAAATTCAAGATAGTCCTCAGCAACAAGTTCCAGGCCTTTCATGATCTACTCAATGGAGAAGAAACTACTGTGGAGAGCAACTGGAAGGGGATCAAAGAGGCAATCACTTCAACATGTCATGAGGTCCTGGGTCACAAGAAGCATCATCACAAGGAGTGGATCACTGTTGATACACTGGATAAGATTCAAGAAAGAAGGAACAAGAAGGCAGCAATCAATACTAGTCGAACAAGAGCAGAAAAAGGCAAGGCACAAGCTGAATACACAGAAGTAAACAAACAAGTGAAGAGGAGTATCAGAACCGACAAACGTAAATATGTGGAAGATTTAGCAACGACGGCGGAAAAGGCTGCAAGAGAAGGGAACATGAGACAACTGTATGACATACTTATTCTCACCCTTTCTCTTTCTCCTGGTGATCGACTGGATCATGAAGACGTCAACATCTGAAGGGAAGCACGGGATACAATGGACATCTAGGATGCAGTTGGACGATCTGGACTTCGCAAATGATCTGGCCCTTCTATCCCAAACGCGACAACAAATGCAGGAGAAGACGAACAGTGTAGCAGCAGCCTCAGCATCAGTAGGTCTCAATATACACAAAGGGAAGAGCAAGGTTCTCCGATACAACACAGCATGCACCAATCCAATCACAATTGACGGAGAAGATTTGGAAGATGTAAAAACCTTTACATATTTAGGCAGCATCATTGATGAACATGGTGGATCTGATGCAGACGTGAAGGCGCGGATCGGCAAAGCAAGAGCAGCATATTTACAACTGAGGAACATCTGGAACTCAAAGCAACCGTCAACCAACACCAAGGTCAGGATTTTCAATACAAATGTCAAGACAGTTCCACTGTATTGGGCGGAAACCTGGAGAACCACGAAAGCCATCATCCAGAAGATACAGGTGTTTATTAACAGTTGTCTACGGAAAATACTTCAGATCCGTTGGCCGGACACTATTAGCAACAACGTACTGTGGGAGAGAACAAACCAGATCCCAACGGAGGAAGAAATGTGACCAATCAGTAACTACGAAACCTCGCTTGAAAGACCGTGAAAGTGAGCAATACTAAAGATTCAGTGCTTCAGCTCATTACTCGTGTTTATCTATTTTTCTACACACTGGAAAGTAGGTATTGCTAAAGAATCAGTGCTTGAACTCCATCGAGAACGCATACGTGATCGAGAAGTCGGAGTTTCAGAGATGGAGACCTGTTGTCAACACAATGATAGAACACACGATCGTGCAGATGTGGGAATAATACACTGATGATATATACTTCACGCATTGCTGTGAATCAATCAAGACAATTTCAGCAGACCTTGTTTCGTTATATTCTAATCATTATTAGTTCGTTTCTCCTTCATTTGAACCTACAGGATCCAATCAACTTTCCAGTCACATTTGTCATCATTTCATATGATATTGATTAATAACATGAATATCACTGTCATAACGGATCAATTTCAAGTGACAAGTATTGCATGCTTCATAGTGGTGTTTGTATGAACTAATGATACCTTTGTGCACAATGTCTGTCTGATTTCGAATTTCAAATACTATACATTCGTTAGTGCTCATCTAGTTTTTTCAACTTAGATTGCTCTGTTTCGGGATTTTTCTGGTTCGTACAGTAATTCAAATACTTCCAATTATTTTACTTATGCTATATACATTTTGTCTTTTGCCAATTATTCGTCTACTCAAAATTATTGAAAAACGTGTAGAAACTCAATGTTAAGCTTTGTCGAACTCACCGGGATATGTCGTGAAATTTCTTTGGCGTATTGCATTCTTGGACTTTTCGGTATACAGTTACTCACAAACCATGCAACTTTTTTTGATTTTCCAGTAGCAAAGTTTCTGGAAGGTAAAGGATATCGTGTTTCTGGTCCATGGTGCTTCATGTATGGCTCATAGGAACCGTACGGTGAATAAATCGTTGAATCCAGACGGAAGGAGATAGTGTGATTAATCTTGATGTCAGAGGGATAGATTCAAGTAAAATGATATCATGAATATTGAAATGAATGAGCAAGTTAATAGTTTTGATATTAGAATAATGTTTTAGTAAAGTGGTTCGTGGGTAGTGTTTAGTTTTGTCGTTTTGGATTATTGATTAACGGTACAGACCTGAGCGTTTTGTTCACCCCCTCTGGTGTGGTGGTGTATTTACAATGCTTAAGAGTTCTTCACTAAGATCAAATATCTGTTCAGTACTCCCTGGTTTTCGAAGGTACGAGTTTGTGTATTGTATCCAAAATAAAGGAATATTTACAAGTAGATTAGTCTTGCTCGTGAATAAACATGACATATGTAATTAGTGACATCGTTGATTCATGTGGACAAATTGAAATCTCAAACAGTCTATTTATTATGCATATCCATCTGTGTCAATTAGTTGCATAGATGCAAACGAAATGATAAAAAATCGTCCCGATAGTGGTGACATGAATGACACGTCGAAAGTATTTACGACAGGTTTTTACTGATTAGTTTAAGCGGATATTAGGCATATATATAATAATGATTAATGAACAAAGCATAGAGCTCACTTGTTCAATGTATCTACGACAACAGTGAAATCTACTGTTAACAAATAAATGTCAGTATAAGGATTCGAATGAAGTAAGCTCCTGAAAATGTCTTGAACGCAACCAAAGAACGATACTGACTAGTCTTCGGGTTTACAACCTGTACCTATTAAATCCCAACTACAGGTTTAAGGAAACATATTGTAAAGCCTTGTGGCATATTACATAGACATATCAGAATATCCTGTAATAGTGTGGTAGAATGAAAATATACTTCGAGTATGATTTGACTATCACTCCTTTATGTCGATATCCTGAACATATTGAAGAAATTTTCAATCAAATGGTATTTACTAATCTAAGTGAAGGCGAATATATTATATGTTTGCTAATCGAAAACAAGCTAAATGATTGATGGATGATCCTAGAGGTGAATGAATCATCGAGCGATATTTAAGCGATCAACATTTTAGCTAGTGTCTGTCTTGTGATCTAGTGGTCATCACGGTACAACGGAATATGCGAATTGTGACTGTTCTAATAGCATTGTTTGTTAAGTAAGTTAGTAAAAGGGCTTAACCAAAATTAACCATAATCGAAATTGGTTGTAAGATAGTTGCGATAATAGTGTAAAGTGATGAAATGAATTCTATGGAGTTCCGCCAAGAGGTGAACATTATTTTCATTTGAATAATTGAATCTTCAGTTGGAAACTATATAAAATTTCATGAACTAATCAATGAATATCCATTAAATTAATGAATGTCTTCACCTGAATTCGAACATTGACCACGAATTCGAAGCTGAAATTGCACACGAATTTATTTATTTATTTATCTTCTTGCAAAAACAGTAGGTTGTTGCAGATAGTATCCACTCAACGGACATTGAGTATTTTACATAGACAATCGTTTACAAATACTTGTACGCTTTTGATGATGGTTGTGGTAGTTCCCGAAGTTTCTGTCTTGAAGTTCGTATTGACGATTCTGACTTTGATATTGTTTGGCAGTTATTTTCAGTTCTATGAGTGCTTCAACTTCACATAGTTGCAGACAAATAAACTTCTTTAATGTGAAATAGATTTCATTGAGGTTTACTTAAGATGTTTAACAGAATATTGCATACAATATAAAATTACGGATCTAATGCTCATCACTCGGAATAAAATTATATTAGAGAAGCGAGAATATGAGAAGTCCATGACAGATCTTATTTGAGCACGTTGACAAGTATCCTCAAATATCAAACGTGATAGTGCTCGATCAAGTTTTTGAATAATTAGTCCCACAAAAATGTTATGTTTTATGGCCTGTCAAGTACCAGGCAACTAAAACGCCAGTTTAAATACCTATTTCTATGACATTGTTTCTGTGCTAAACCAATGATGCTTCATGTAGCACTAGGAGTCCTGAGTCAAATATGAGTCCTTATTGGTCATCTTCATAGCAACTTCTCATCGAGACCAGCCCGTCCAGTCCAGAACAAAGATAGCTGCCACTGATGTGTGTTTAATTGTTGTTGCAATATTATTAGAGGCCAAGTTTTCTCATTAAGATGAAGTTCTCACATTTAATTTGAAATCGTGAATGAAATGGAATAAACTAGAAATCTTGAATTAATTTGTGAATTATATTTTTTTGGTGTGTGTGTGTGTGTATGTGCGTGCGTTCTTTGCTTAGTATTTCTAATTAGGCTTGCACTTTTTCTGCCTAATATATATTAGACATACGTGGTTTATATACAAGCAGAACAAACCGCATCACACTGTAAAAATAAAAATAATAATTACACAGGATCAAGCAAAATGTGGCTGTGATTGTGGGATATTGTAACAAATAAATTGCGAATAAGTTAAGAATGGTTAAACGTATTGCAGTAGCCAATATGTCAAACGAAACCTTATGATCAAACTAACATAACCAAGCAAAGAGTGGCAGTAGACAACAGGTCAAATGAAACCTTATGATAAAAAAACCTGATTATACATACTATATATATAATCTGGTAACTTAATAATTATCTAATAAGAATATATGCAATATTAAATGGGTGGTGGTTAGCAGTGGAATCCACGATACGCGTTCCATCATACTCGGTGCTCCTCAGCTGAATGTATCTGCATCACCCAGTTGATGTTCACTCGTGAAATCCGACCCTGTACCGTGCGCTCCTCGATCCCACTACTAGCCTCCATCCATCACTGCTTATAATGTTTGAGACGAAAAGCAATTTCGAGGCAATCCTCACAGGATACACATATGTCAATTAGAGACTGATCAATGTCAGTCATGGATATCAATGGAACGATTCGAACAAACAATACCAAAATTGATATGTAGTAATAGTCCATAAATAATTACTAGCAGCTACCAATGTGCATTGAGCAATCATGGTCCATAATTTTTTATATCCGTCACGTCAAAATAAAACGGTGAAATTGGCTAAAACTGAAATCTCATCTCCATCGTCCTGTAAGTTGAAATTTGACATTTTCAATGTATATACATATTTTCGGGAATGTTCACGGTTCACTTGTATGATGAGATTTCGATAAGTGTTTAACAAATTGCAAACTTATTATTCATTCCAAGAAACGATATACTTCCAATTGTGATGGGTGCATCGATAGAGGAATATGAAAGAGTCGCTCCTCCATACTCGTTCATTCACGTTGATCAATTCGAATCACCGGCTAAACTGGCAGACTATTTGAAGTATTTGGACAAGAACGATACTGCATATAATGAATATTTTGCATGGCATGGTCATGGAATCATACATGATTACGATGCCCAACCTCAATGTGCAATGTGTCTGCTAGCTCATACATCTCATTCATTTGGTCCATATTGGGTTCCGAGTGTGGCACGATGGTGGAATGCTGGATGTAATGGTCGGAAATTGCGTTGGAATCCATGAAACATGAATATTGAGAACAGAAACATTGTTTTATTGTAGATTGTATTAAATTGTAATGTACATAGTGCTTTCTGTGGTATAGATCAAATTACATTTGAAAATGGACAATATTTTACACATAATAAAAATTCTGATATTTTTCATGAAAACAATTTCATATGGAATGATTATGGAGCGACATAATGCTGTACACTATTCACAAATGATTGCAATATGATGATGAGAAAGGTATAAATGTTCATAATAGAGAAGTATTGGCAAAGAAAATAACGAAAATTGGATTTGAGGGAGGGAAAGTATTATCTTTTCATATTAACTTTCGATCCTAAATTTCGACCAATTTTAATATCAATACCGTGGGATATAGTAATTAACACCGTCTAAATTGTAGTTTTAACTGATTCACGTGAATATAAATGAGTTAATGATTGGACAAATGTAAATATTAGTCAGTTGGTTAATGGCCAAAAATAGTCGTGTAAATGAATGGACAATAATATCAAAGGGTTTTTTGATTAGACATGTATAGTTTCACAATTGATTGATCACTGAGTGGTGATCAATATCATGTGCGTCAAGTCCTTCTTAGTGCAGATCGAATGATATCGACCAAATAACAATGTGGCCACCAATCTAGGTGACTCGACATTGCGTGCACTATGTTGAGATAAGATGGTCAGATTGAAGAATCTGTGCTAACCCCTTATAAATATAAATGTGATAATTTAAATGAATGATGTAGAAAGGGATTATTTACTCAACATAATATACGCTATGTGACTGAATGGTAACACCGCCTGGAGTCCCTCCGGGGGCTACTGCCGGTTCCAAGCCTGGATAAAGGAGGGTTGGGCATGGGGTTAGCGTCCTCATCCCGTAGAAAACTAACTCGCTAAAAAAAGGCTAACCAAAACGCTAACCAGACTGAAGGGTAGTGACGCTACTTGGATGGTTAGAGGGTAGATCGTGCGAGAGCGTTTCGAATGTGTGACGCAATGTCACTTTTCAAAGTAATAATTATGTTGAGTGGGATATGATTCTTGTAGTCAATGTTGACTAAACTACTAGAATGACAAAGTCCTAATGCTTTGTCTGTGCTTTATTCACCTGGAAAATGCGACATTTTGCAATTGACAGATAATTCCCCTTTAAACATTAAAATTGAAACACGAAGTTCAGCGAACGCATCTCATTTCAACCAATTTTTATTTATATACGATTGCACAGCTTGATAATAAATTGGTTGAAATGAGATGCGTTCGCTGAACTTCGTGTTTCAATTTTAACATTTTGCAATAGCATCAAGTCGCTCAGTTCTCCATCACGTGAGTAGTTAAAAGTATGTGAAGCAAACAAGTTTCAAAAATCAATCTTGGTTACATAGATAGTTATCGTGAATATGATACTCTTTGTTCTTTCTTGAAACATTTCTCTGAAGTTGTGTTACGTTTTCATCGTCTTTGTCAATCATAAATTAAAGTTTTACCTTCGTTTCCAAATAGATTCAAGATGGCATGGAT